GGATGGAACCAACTCCCGTCTTCTATCAGACTTCATAAAAGGCATCTTCGATTTCTGCCTTCCCCGCAGAACCCCGAGGACGGACTATCTCATGGGGGAGGCACATATCGGAGGGACTGCCAGAATGCAGTGTTCTTCAATTGGCACAATGCATGATGGTGCACAATGGTGATCACACTCCAGCCTACTGGGCCTCCTCGAGGGATGTATGCTTTTCCCCCCTTCACAATGATTGTGAAAATTATCCATCATCTTGTTGTTCAGCGAATAACCCGAATATCCTGCTGTGACAGAGTCAACTTTGTTTCCCGGACCTTTGGGGACTGACTGGTGAGGATCCGCTCCTCCAACATTTGTATCCTACTATTCTGATGGTCCAAAAGGGGAACCCACATCTTCTATTCCTGGAGGGTCAGCTGACCCTGGTGGCCTGGACTCTTTCAGGGTTTTTTAGCAGATTGGCAGACTATTGCAGTCTGCTGGGGACCTCTTAGGAGTCTCTTGGGCCCCAGGAACGTAACAATGCCACCTCTCCATCTGGGCTTTCCCGGTCTGATTGGTGTTTGGAACAGTACCTCGATCGATTATGTAGTGGTTTGGAAGATTCAACGGCCCATGACCCAGTCTGGGGACTGCCAATGGTCAAGGATCCTCTTGTGTTCCAACCACCCAGTGACACCCACCACTTCCGGTTTATAGGATGTGGAGGTTGTTCTCTGTTTTCTACAGGACTGGACATCTACCGACGGACTTCTACCGATGTGTCTAAACCTGTCACACATTCTCTTTTCAGTGTGATTCGTCCCTGAAGACATTTGGTTGTTCATGGGAAATTCTCTGGACGTTTGCTCCTTTGGATTTTGATTTGTCTCTGAAAACATTTTGGTTGCTTGTGTGGAATTCACAGGGAAGTTTGCTCCTTCGATGTTGGATTTAGGAGTTATTGTTATTGCTTGTTATATGTTTGCTTCTGCTTGATGTCGCTTTCTGAAAGAGGAAGTAATTAGGTCACTATGCCTCATGGTTCTTTTTTTTTCTATGTGTTTCTTTGCTGCTGTGGAGCTAGTAAAGATTATGCAAAATAATCGCCTCCTGTAAAATTAAGATTATTAGTACACTAAATCTAGCAAAATCTTAAATTTTGCAACAACTAGGAAATAATTATTTATTAACCCCAGAATGGCAGTCAGATCTCTCCTAGGGTCAAGAAGCTGATACCCTATATATTCAAATCTTTATCCCTGATTATGTTGTTTTTTTTCAGATATTCATCTAGTTGATGTTTAAACCTCTGTACAGACTCTGATAAAGACAATACTTCAGGAACAGAATTCAACATTCGTATTTTTCTTACTGTAAAAGAAAACCTTTCCTTTGACTTAGAGCAAATCTCCTTTCTTTCTGTCTAAATATGTGATATTGTGTCTTATGTATAGTCTTGTTTATTAATACATTTCCAGACAATGGTTTGTATTGGCCCCAATATATATTTGTATAATGCTACCATATCCTCTCTGAGGCATCGTTTTTTCTAAAATATTTAAATTTAACATTTCTACATAACTAAAATGTTTATGCCTTAAATTAATTTTGTAGCCCACCTCTGTACATTGTTCTAGTGCCATAATATCCATTTTTAGAAGAGGTGCCCAAAATGTGGTATTATCATTGCTTTATAAAGATGTAACACTATATTTTAATACTGAGAATTAAAGCCCACTTTTATACATGGCAATACCTTACTGGCCTTACCAACTGCTAATTGACTTTGCACATTGTTGCCTAGTTTGTTGTCTATAGCAATTCTCAAATCCTTCTCATTTGTTGTTATCCCTAAATAACTACCATTTATGGTGTAATTTGCTTGTGTATTATTTACCCAGAAGTGTAAACTTTGCATTTATCTACATTAAATTCCACCTGCCATTTGAATACACAGTCCCCTAATTCATCTTAATCTCTCTGCAGCAAAGTAGTACCATGCTAACATAGTATTATTTTACAGACTTTTGTGTCATCTGCCAGTACTGGAACATGACTTTCAATGCTTATTTCAACGCCTATCCCTATTCATAAATATGTTAAATAGAAGCGGTCTTAGAACAGAACCCTGAGGGACACCACTTACCACTCTTGTCCAGTTTGAAAATGTTCCATTAATGGTGTGATAGAATTTATCTTGATTCCAAGGCTCAAGCTTATAGCTGTCATAGAATGGAAAGGAAATGCTTAACAAAACCCCCACCTGAGATGTCTCTTCTGTAATCTTTTTGTTCTTTCTTACCTTGGAACTTATTTGTTATGTGTACATGACACGGCAGAGGCTTATTTTGAATACAAACAGGTGTCTGGTGTCTAATTCTCGCTTCTCCAAGTGCACTTGTAATAATAATTTGGACTTCCTCTGAATATAACAAGGATCATTATTTGGATCCACAACAATTTGGTGCTGTGACCCCGGGATCAGACAAATCCAGTTCATCCGGACCCAGAAGGGTTGGCTCAGAGCCCAGACGGGTAATCAGCTGCAGCGGGTAAGAAAAAGCTTTTATTTTTCTACCTATAAATGATTTTGACTCTCTGGTGCTCTTTGAGACCTGGGTAAGGATTTTTAAAACGTCTGATCTAAAGAACTTGTTTTCTGTGGTATTATGGTTATATTCAGGTGGATGTTGTCTTATGTCTTGTGAAAGGAATCTTGAGATAATGGAATATATCTGTGGGTTTTAAGTTATTTGTATTGTTTGCCTTGTCATTTGTTTTATATTTAAGTTAGAATCCTCCAAGGGCAGATCTCCTGATCTGTGTTTAGAATAACGGAGACAAGACTGTGAAAATTCCACTGCAGTGGTCCTACATGTTTTAAATACACTGTTTTTGTACAGTTTGTCTTGTGTAAGGAAGTAATTAACCCTTACAAGTTTTAAGATGGGTAGCTCTGAAAGCACTCAAGAGGGATTTACGGCTTTGACTATTGTCAAGCATCACAAAGGACAAGGAGCAGTTGTGTCAGAATGTTAAGAGGGCACTCTAGACCCACATATTTGGAGTGAATTTATGGCAAATTACAGAGGTTGGATAGAAGATAATGACTTAGTACAAGTTGCCCAAAAATTGCATGATACTGCTGTTGAATTAACTAAATGTGGTTGTAGAGAAACCACCAGAAAAGGTGTACCATATTATCAATGTTTTGGACCTCTAAGGTCCAAGAATGGGCAAGAAGGAGGGTAGTCCACCTGACATAAGGGAACCCCCTAGTTGCCCCCATAGACACCCCAGTGGGGCCATTAGCTCCACTATTTACTACTCCCATGATACCCAAAGTACCATGAGAAGAGACAGCTGAGCTCAGGTATCCAATACTGGGAAGAATATAAGCCCTGGACACCCAGTGAACAACTGGCAATAATACAGAAGCTGCCGATGTTGAAAAGGCCCCCTTAGCTCTAGTCCAGTCTCTATCCACCATTCAAGCTACTTACCAGTGTACTTGGATGGATTTAAAACAGATTTTTGCCCTTAAAGCTGGCCCCATTTGGGCTAGAATAATTGCTAAATATACTGATGCCCATGCTAATCTACTAGCCAGTGATATACTGTCTGCTCTTAGTGCAAATATCCAGTATAGCTCCACTGGGAAAGTAACATTGTCTGTGCCTTTGGAGGACAAACAAATGATATCTCTTTCAAATGTTCTGGCAACTCTCACTATGCCCAGCCATGTGCCAGAACCTACCATTGACTTGTCCTCAATCCCTGATTCCTTATGGGCTACAGGGAAGACAGATGCAGGCAGACTCTCTGTGCCCGCAGTCAAAGTGAATCTCCTGCCCGGAGCCAAACCTCCCGATCAAAAACAATACCCCCTAAGCCCAGCACAGGAAGATGCTATTTCCCAATCTGTGCAAGAGTTTCTGCAGGCAGGGGTAATTGTCCAGACCACCTCCCCTTGTAACACACCATTGTACCCAATTAAGAAAAAGCAAGAGAAAGGGAAACCTGTGGTCTACCGTATGGTACATGATTTGAGGGCAATAATGCAGTAACTGAACTCATTGCCCCTAATGTTCCCAACCCACACACCTTGTTGGCACAGACACCACCTTCTAAGGTATTTACTGTTAGTGACTTGGCAAATGCATTTTTCAGTGTCCCCCTGGATCCCGATAGTCAGTATTTATTTGCATTTACACATAAACACAAGCAGTACACTTGGACAGTATTGCCACAGGGTGCACAAAACTCACCCACTATGTACAGCATGGCTATGGCACAAATTCTTGAAGAGTGGCAAAGGCCAAATAATGTAATTTTATTGCAGTATATCGATGACCTACTCCTATGTTGCGATAATATGGAGACTTGTATTGTAAACACTCTTTCCTTACTGAAATTCTTGGCAGAGGCAGTCTGCATTTCAAAATATTACATCCCCCCGCAGCCTAGCCCAGCTATGATTCATACTGCCGACCTTGGCTGGGCAGCAATCTACATGCTGCCCCTGTATGATTGTCTCGCCAACAAAAACAAACCCTTTAAATTAACCCATGCAGCAGAAAATGCTACATCTGTCCTTACACAGGACCATGATGGTAAACAAAGACCAATAGCGTACTACTCCACCAGTTTGGACCCTGTTGCAATGGTGCCCCCTCATGTCTTAAGGCAGTGGAGCTGTTACTGCCCTCCTGGACAAAGCCACTGATATTGTCTTAGATAACTCAGTGACAATATGCCTTGCTTATGCCACCTAATGTTACTCTGAAAAGGTGTATGGTGTTAAATCCATCTACATTACTTCCACTGGATTTAAAAGAGGGGAGTGGGGATAGTGGGAATGGTACTTTTACATCTGATTTTTTGTAAATTCACTTTCACCAGATGAGTTAGCTGACGCCCAGGTACCCCATGATTGTGCAGCACTAATGGCACAAGGAACAACAGGTTTTTTGCATGTAATTGATTCTCCATTATCTAATGCAGATTTTGAGTTTTTTGTAGATGGTTCCAGATATGCTGATGAGAATGGTAATTTCCACACTGGATATGCTGTAGTCTCTGCACATGATGTAATAAAAGCTGAACCACTCGCTCCTCACTGCTCTGCACAGGAGGGAGAGCTGAAGGCACTCGCTGAAGCATGTAAAATGGCTTCTGGTAAGACTGCTAATATTTATACAGACTCTCGCTATGCTTTCGGTATAGCCCATGATTTTGACCCTATATGGCGGGCTCGTGATTTTCTCACCTCAGCAGGAACTCCAATCAAGAATTCTGAAGCCATGAGTGCACTTATGGACGCTATCCCACTCAAGTAGGCATCATCAAGGCTTCAGCTCATGTGAAGATCATAGATGAAATCTCAAGAGGAAACCAACAAAGCAGACAAAGCTGCCAAGCAAGCAGCAATTCAAGTTCATCCCTCTACAGGTAATATCTTCCTACAAGTTGTTCTTACAACTTGTAGGAAGATATTCTGAAGTGGTAGAGGTTAACACAGTAAAGGAGTTTAAACATGCATGGGATAGGCATAAGGCTATCCTAACTATAAGATAAGGCTAGGGACTAATGAAAGTTTTTCGAAAATTGGGCAGACTAGATGGGCCGAATGGTTCTTATCTGCCGTCACATTCTATGTTTCTATGTTTCTATGTTACAGATGACGCCGTTGACTACAATTTACTGTTGAGATTACAAAGACAGGCAAGCAAGGAAGAACATGACCTCTGGAGGAAACAAGATGCAGAACCTGATGATGAAAGAGTGTGGAGGAAAGGTAAAAGACTGTGTTTGCCACGAGTATTGTAAAAATGAAAATCCAGCGCACTCGCTTATCTACTAAACAGTCATTTTAATGCTGAACAATTTTCAGTTTTATTAAAAACACCTAATCTAGGCAAAAAAATATAATGGGGGTTTAGTTACAGTATATGATCATACATTGCATAAGCCTGCCACAACGCCAATGGACCTCGAGATGGAAGGATTTCCCCAAGTGAGAAGCTCATTTAGCAGACAGAGTAGGACCTGCCAAAGATGGGGTACATTGGTGTTGTGGCAGGCTTATGCAATGTATGATCATATACTGTAACTAAAACCCCATTATATTTTTTTGCCACGTATTGTACCCCATGATGGCCCAGATTGCCCATGGACCTACACATCAATCCAAGATGCACATGAACAACATAGTAAACACCCATTGGGTAGCACCCGGATTTACTGTTGTAGCAGCTAAACACACCCAATCTTGCATGATTTGTGCTAGAAACAATCCAGGATAGGCTGTCAAAACACCAAGTAAGTACACCAAGGCCACTTTACCCGTTTCAAAGACTGCAGATAGGCTATATTCAACTGCCTAAGGTAGGAGTGTATGAATATGTATTGGTGTGCATTGATCTCTTTTCAGGTTGGCCTGAGGCCTACCCAGTGTCGAAAGCCACAACGAAAGTCACAGCAAGTAAGCTTCTGAAGGAACTGGTATGTAGATATGGAGTACCTGAAGTGATTGCAAGTGACAGAGGTAGCCATTTCACTGGGGAAATAGTGCAAGAAATTATGAAAGCCTTAGGGATCAGTCAGGCCTTCCACACCCCCTATCACTCCCAGAGTAGTGGGAAAGTAGAAAGGGCAAATGGCACCTTAAAGAACAAGATTGAAAAAGCCATGCAAGACACAGTGAAACCCTGGACTGAATGTCTTCCCCTAGCACTCTTTTCTATGAGATTCACCCCCAATTCCAGACATGGCCTATCCCCTTTTGAGATACTGTTTGGATGTGCCCCAAAGACAGGCCTCTATTTTCCCCAGACCCTCCAGATGCAGCATGGTAGTATGACTGCCTATGTACAGGCCCTACACCAAAGATTAGGCAGGGTGCATAAACAAGTCTTTGATTCTATTCCAGATCCAGACTCTGATTCTACAACTCACAAACTGCAGCCTGGTGATTGGGTGGTGATACTGAGGCATGTGAGGAAAGGACTTGAACCACGCTTTGACGGTCCATTCCAAGTGCTCTTGACTACGGCTACCTCAGTGAAACTAGAAGGAAAAACAATGTGGATACACGCCTGTCACTGTAAACAAGTCACTCCGACTGATCCACCGACATGAAGCTGTTCTTATCCTTTACCATTGTATGCTCTGTTCAGATATGCTACTCTGACTTGAGACCAGAAGATAATAATGCATAGCAGGGAAATATATAATTGATGAGTTAGCTGAGATAGAATCGCCATAGAATCTTGTCTTATAGCTGTCCCTACCCCCATCTCACCTTTGAGGAAGTACCTACATACCCATAGATCCCATAAATATCTACCCGAGTAATTAATGCTGTAGCCTGTCCCCTTGCAAATGCCACTTCACAGGCCCTAGAAGAGCTATGGACAACCAGACAAATAAGAAGGCAATCGTTGAGAATAGAGCAGCCATTGACTTTACTAATTAAGAAAATGTTGTACTTTTTGCTATTAGCTATATTTGTTATTATGTCCATTTTTCTAACCTTTAGATTTTTCTCATGTCTACTAACCTCTCTATGTAAAAACAAACCTACTGTTGGTTGTACCTTAACTTACATTCCAGCTCTGACTTTGGAAGGGTTTTATGATGTTACCTCGCCTAACAAATGAAGGAACTCTCCTCTGCTGATTCTGGTGGGCTCTCAGTCCAAGGGAACAGTGGTGAAGCAATAAATGAAAGTCACACAGGCTTTGGCTAGCAGGCCTGGAATTACCTTGGACATTTTGGTGACCCTTGGATCAAAAGAGGGGATTGTGATAGAATTTATCTTGATTCCAAGGCTCAAGCTTATAGGTGTCATATAATAATATCCTATATTAAAATTGGCTAACTTGGACTCAGGAAAGGAAATGCTTAACACAACACTTAAAACCATATATGTCTAGTTCCGGGAGCAGAGAGCCCCCACCTGAAATGTCTCTTCTCTAATCTTTTTGTTCTTTCTTACCTTGGAACTTATTTGTTATGTGTACATGACGTTCATCCCTATGTCTTATCTGTACTCCCTTCCTATTACTGTTCTATGAGTATTTTCATGTAAGCACTTACTTTTTAATGTATAATACCTAGCTGATGAATAAAATGGCAGAGGCTTATTTTGACTACCAACAGGTGTCTGGTGTCTAATTCTCGCTTCTCCAAGTGCACTTGTAATAATAATTTGGACTTCCTCTGAATATAACAAAGATCATTATTTGGATCCACAGCTCTCTGTACTCTATGTTTAAGCCAATGTTCTACTCAAGAATAAGAATTATTATCCTTTAGTTTGAACACTAACCTATTGTGTGAAACTGTTTTGAATGTAATTCCAAAATCCAAGTAGATCACATCCACTTAAACACCCTGATCTATATTTCTACTTACTTTTCTAAAGAATGCTATTCGATTAGTTTGATATGACCTATGTTTCATAAATCCACAAACAATGCTAATTGTTGTTAATAACAATGTTCTTACCAATGCATTCTTGAAAATGATCCTTTGATAACCCTGCAAATACTTTCCCAGCTACAGCAGTTAAGCTCAAAGTCCAGTCAAAGATTTTGAACCCTTTTTGAATATAGGAACCACATCTGCCTTACTCAAATCCACAGGTACAATCCTGAAAGATTAAAACCGAGGTTTGCTTATCTCCACACTTAGCTCTTTAAGTACTTGTTGGTGAATACCATGAGGACCTGGGCTTTGCTGGAGCAATTTGTCTTGAGTCCTCCAATCACAATTTTTCTACAAGTTTTTTTTGCAGCAGCACTCATTTGCACTTAAGGTCCCTTCTTAATTTATTCTGTGGGAAAATAGTTATTTAAAATGTCTACATTTTCCTGGTCTTCATTAACTAACCCACCCATCTCTGATTTCAGTATACCTTAACTTTCATTTGTTTTAATTCTTTTTTCAGAATTTATGTACACATGGCTTTCAAAATCAATTTGAAGAGAAGTGGACCAAGAACAGACACTTAAGGGCCACTACTTACCATCTTCGTCTTACTTGAACATTTTCTATTCTAGGAGCAAAAATAGAATCCTGAAAAGTAATAATACACATCACTTACAAAGGTAAATAGATGTAAATCTTCTTCAAGCTATGTCTTTTTTTTAAGCCAACCAATGTCGTTATCATCATCATTAATTAAGGTGAACAATATTATGTTATAAGATTATGTTCTGTCAATGGTCTCTTCAATCCCCAGCTCTTAAATTTCTATTAATACGTAATGCAAAAGTGCTGCTAAATATTGTTGGTTACTTTATCACCATCCAAGTCATTCGAGGGCAAAATTTCAAAATGTTTGAGTGGTAACTGTTATTGCATTTTGCAGTGAAGTACAAGTAATTGGTTAATTACAAGCTGACTACAGGCATCTTAAAACTCCCTCCAACTGCTTGGAGTTTCTTCATGTGGAATTGTTTTTTCTTATATCAGAACAACAAAAAAAAACAACACAAAATAAAACAGTTAAAGACACAATGAAATAACTTCATCGTAAAAGCAGATGTCAGTAGTTTCCTTTAAATAAAGCACTGATGAGACTAATCCCAATGTTGCAAGTCTGTATCCATTCAAGCAAATTCTTTAAAAAATAACAGAAAGTGACAGTGCGGATTCCAAGTCAAAATGTTCCTGAAATTGTCATATTTACAGAAGAGATCCTAGAGGGAATAAAGAGACAGCCCCTGGTGTTAAATAACAGAAATATCCAAGGAACATGACATTTACAAAGAAAAATGCCTAAGGAAGCTTAACTTTTTGCTTGAGATGATCAGTGATTATGCCTCAGTTGTTAAATCACTTTACTTATGCACAATAATGCAGGCAACTAGACAAAAGTAGAGAACCAAAACATATAGGCGGTTTACCGTGCTTTGTTAAAGCCCAATGAATACTGCTAGGATTATTTGTTATAGCTTTACAAAGTCACACCCTGATAAGGTCTACAATCAATAAAATTATGAAATTTCAACCCTATGTTTAATCTGAATGCAAACTTTTGGAGGTACCTTGACTGTGCAACCAGGGTTAGAAATAGAATTAAAAAGACAAGGGTCCCCAGATAAACTACTCCGGAGGGACCTGCAGTTATGTGGTCATACTCAGACACATCATAGTTGGTTGTGTGAGGGTTTACATAGTTATCAAGATAATCACTCTATAGCATGCTTATAAAAGTCCAGGATGTGGTGGGACAGTCCTGACTTGAGGTTGCTGTCCACTATCCACTGTCCACACGGTCTTCTCTCTAGAGTACCGCATATAGGCACAACAGAGATCATGTCCCCAGAAGGTAAAGCATAAGAGGATCACTAAAAGGACAATCAAAGCTAAACTAAGCTTATCTAGCGACCATTCTGACCAATGTTGGAGATGTAGATCCGCTAAAGGATCTCATTTACATATGTGGTGGAAATGCTCTGGGCTGTACAATCTTAATATAAACCTTTCAAGATTAATAACCGAAATTTAAGGGAAAGATTTTTCTTTGGCTTTATATCATTGTTTGTTCCATTTAGAACTTCCCGGTAAGAAACCTCTAGTTTACTTAATAACTCATATTATGCTGGCTGCAAAAATTTGCATAGCTAGGAATTGTAAAAAACAAGGTCATCAAAATTGGCATGAAGTAATAAACCAAATAAATTATCAATGGTCTATGGAGAAGGAATTGTATGCGAAGAACGACCAAATGAACCTATTAATAGAAATATGGGATAAATGGCAAGTCTCCCAGTTTGCTAATAATGTTTGGATTTCCTAAATCACTGATATCTGGGAAGATAACATCTAGAATAACGTGGATCATTATATTATGTAACTGTATAGTACAAACCCCTGCTCAACACTCCCCCCTATGTAGGAATGAATGTAGCAAGAAGTATGAATGACGGATTGTATGTATTTAGGTAGACAATGATTTTAAAAATGGTATAAATTGCATTGCTGTTATATATTTATTAACAAGGAAAATGTAATTGTATGTTTTATAATAATTTTGTAACAATAATGCTTAATAAAGATTTTTTTTATTTTTTTTAAAAGGACAATCTAAGCACAAAAATCACTTTGAACCTTTGAACATCTTAATGAAGTGATTTTGATACATGGATTTTGCTCCTGCACACTTGCATATAAAAAGAGTGCCATTTCTGAGTACTGTTTACATTTCACAATTTAGACTCTTAATAGTGACTTTCAGACAGATTGGCACTAGAGGCATTGGAAGAATAAAATTCAGTAAATTAATCTTATTTTATATCTGCCATCAGCATGCAAAGTAAGAGAAGCAATGTATCAGTGGCAGATCCAAAGCTCAATCTCGAAAAGGACACAGCCTTATTATATAATAGTTGATAGAAAAAATGCATGCTGTTTATTCTCTGTGATAAACTCATCCACCCGGCACATAATTATGGCACTCGGCAATACTCAAACACAGCATATTATTGTGCAATTCTATAATACATTCAAATGTACTGTATATTAACCCCTTAAGGACTGAGCCAAATGCACATGTTGTGATCAAAACAAAACGTAAACAAAACCTGGAATTTGCACTAAATGTCTGTTCAGGCGTAATTCACCTCTTTCATATTATGTGCACTCACACTTATTATATATAATTTATTCAGGGGAAATAGGGCTTTCATTTAACATCAAATATTTAGCTATGAAACAGAATAATATGAATAAAATAATAAAAAATGGGAGAAAATAAGAATTTTTAAAAACATTTTTTAGTTCTGCGTGACATTTTAACTGTGAATGTCATAATACTGTTTGCTTTTACTGCAATAAAAAATACACATATTTGTATTCAGCGATGTCTCACGTGTAAAACAACACATCCTATGTACAGATTTTATAGGGTTTTGAGAAGTTACAGGGTCAAATATAGCATGTAACATTTTTCAGTTTTTTCACATTGGAATTTGCCAGATTGGTTACGTTGCCTTTGAGACCATATGGTAGCCCAGGAATAGGAATTACCCCCATGATGGCATACCATTTGCAATAGTAGACAACCCAAGGTATTGCAAATGGGGTATGTCCAGTCTTTTTTAGTAGCCACTTGGTCACAAACACTGGCCTGTACATGAGGGGTACTGTTATACTCGGGAGACTTCACTGAACACAAATATTAGTGTTTCAAAACAGTAAAACGTATCATATCATTCGTGTAAGTGCCATTTGTGTGTGAAAAATTCTAAAAATTTCACTTTCAACAACTTTCATCATTGTAATACATCTTACTGTTTTGAAAAATTTGTGTTCAGTGAAGTCTTCCGAGTAAAATAGTACCTACCATGTACAGGTTTTATGGTGTCTTGGAAAGTTACAGGGTTAAATATAGTGCTAGCAAATTAAATTCCCTGGACTTTCGACCTGGGTTGTCAGGCAGGTCCTGCAAATTGTAATTCATAAAATGACCTAATTATGTAAAATTATTACATAAATTTATACGTAGAATTATTATTATATATATATATAATTCAGCGATCGGCTAATATTCCCTCAATCATTTCATACTGAATCACATAATATTGCTGCCATCATTCGTGACAACTGGAAAACACTTACAACATATCATTACCAGCTCCCTTCAGACAGACTCCAATCATGAGTTATAGAAGGGGTAAGAATCTTAAGAATCATTTTGTTCATGTGGATCAATTTACCAAAATCAAAGATTCATCTGCAACTGTCAATACCGGTTGCTTTAGATGTCTTAGATGTATTGCTTGTAATTCCATGTCGCCTCGGAAAGAGTTTGTACATCCGAGATCTGGCAAGAAGTTTAAAATATGACATAGGATCACTTGCACCTCTACCTATGCTGTGTGCCAGATTGTATGCCCATGTGGACTCGTGTATGTGGGCAAAACATCTAATAATCCATGAGAGAATGAGGGGACATCGTTCAACTATACGGACAGCGTTGGCAAACAAATGTGCAAGTACTCCAGTGGCACGTAATTTTTTAGAAATGGGACACTCTTTGCCCTCATTGAGATTTATGGGGATAGATCATGTCCCAGAACTGTCTAGGGGTGGCAACCGTGAGATGCGATTGCTACAAAAGGAGGCATTTT